AGTGTTGAATCAGGCTGACGTCAGAAATGTACAGATCGGCAAATTTTCAAACACGCGCGCAAGTGTAAATTATGTTGTAATGTTGAGTGGTGCTGTTTTTTGAATGAGAAATTAAACCAAACTCCTGTTTGCCTGTTATTCAGGTGGACTTTAAAATTCTGTAACACTGTTCTCTGACCTACAAAACTAGGATAGCACTTGTTTGTAAAGTGTACGCATATTACTCCTTGTAATGTATGCCAAAACGTTTCATTTATATATGCGTAATATGTACCAAATCCCCCCAAAATGTAAAAAAGGCACCTGCTTATTATAATATGCATAGTATCCTGCCTCAAAATATGGTTTATAATGTAATATTCATTAGTTCACTTTGATGTGAGATAAGGGAGCATGTCTGATTATAATAAATAATAATAATCCTAGTAATTGATATAGTATCTAGGATGTCAAAATGCCTCAACAGGCTTCACAGACAATGCAAATGCAATGACTGTATATGTGCATGGAAACGCTCTGCTGGTTGTCAATATGAAGTTGCAATGCCCATTAATAGGTCACACCACCAAGGTTGGTAAATGTACCAACAATATGAAGATTTCCTTGGGCAACTGAGCTCCAGATTAACTGGTTTTTCACGTTGTGGCTGTTCGTAGGACTTTGCTGGTGTATATAGCTGTCACCTTTGCCAACATAAACAGTTGCTACAACTGACAGTAATTATTGTAAAATGCTTTCAGATATTCTAAAATGCTATAAAATGACATGGTTCTTTCCCTCTAGCCCACATTGTATAGTACAATTGAGCTCCTTTAATTGGCATCTTTCCAAGAGATAGATGATGTTTGTGGGACAAAATGGCTTTAAAATATTATAGGATTATGTAAGAAAACGTGCTTTCCATGCAACCTATGCTGTGTAATCAAACCAATGGAGGTTCCACAGCAATGTGCTATTCTTCAAACATTTTTTTAATCTTCTCTCATGTTTCATCCTGTCACATTGCAGGGAATGCATGGCTGCCCTTTGCTGAATCAGCGTTACTATTTTAGGAATTAAGTAAAATACCTGCAGCACAACAGAAGAGTCGTTTCCTCTTTAACCATTTCCAGCCCAGACCTGGGAAAAAGCAGCTTTAGGGAAATACCAATCTTGTTTTTTCTGGGTCTGTAGGTTTGGCAGGAGATTGAAGAGCCATAGTTGGAGACCATAAATCCTGTCCCCAAGGATCCATTTGTGTAGGTTATCAGGCCCTCTGAACATTTTGTGTATCTCAGAGTAACTGAGAATATGAGTGTTGTGCTCAGTCCCTAGGCAGAGAGTGGCCTCACACATCTCTTGGGTTAGCAGCACATGACAGGAAACAAGGGAGGTGTTTAACAATGAAGACAGATATTGTAAATCCACCCAAGTACTTTCACATCCCTAAACCCTGGAACTCCCTCTCTCTACCCTTCTTTCTCGTTCCCTTGGCTGCCACATTCACCCACAAAACACATCATAATTCCATTTACATTATGACCTGCGAAATGCTTTGGGAGGTCCTGACGTGAACAGCATTATACTATGAGCAAAGATTATTACAGTTATTATTATTAATATTGTTATTATTATCTGTTGTTTTCATCACTCAGGTGGTCAATTACAGGACAACCCAACCAAAGTCTGGGGAATAGTTGTAAGGAATGAAACATGTTACATAACATTTACATAATAAAGGGGAGTGACATTCGTAACCCACGACCCTTGGGTGAACACTGACAGATTGTATCTCGGGGAAAGATAGGGGAAGATGAAGCCTCTCAACAGCACTACACAAACTGATTGACAACACATTCACCTGTTGAGAGCAACATTTAACAACAACAATAATAATTTATATTCAGCGCCTTGGGACATCCTCCCAACATGAAAAGTGCTACACAAATGTAATTTTGTTGTTGTTGTTGTATAACTCCCTTCATCTCTGGTGACTGTCTTCCTTGGGAGCTGAATTGGCTCCAGGTGACAAATTTGGCAATGGAATGACAGAATCGATGCACTCCTCTGTGGTGGTCTCAGTAGTTTGGTTTCTAAGCAGTACTCCAGGCCACTGCTGATGCCAGCACAGACAGGCTGGCGTCTCGGCAGGACTTGAAAGGGCTTCACTGGGACTTCACCAGTCACTGGGGGCAGTTCCTCTTCCTGCTCAGCTCCTGTTAACCCTACAAGCCAAAGTCCTAATGTCCAAAGTCCTAATGGGTTCTAATATGCTCGGGTGCAGATCCCTGATTGTCCAGCACCTTGGAACATCCTCCTGATGTGAAAGGCGCTATACAAATGCAATTTGTTGTTGTTGTTGATCCTAACTGGACAAGCAGTGGGAAAGCTTGACAGACAATGGCAAGCTATGCAGTTTTAGCTGGTTAGACTCCAGCAGTACCCCAACCTACACTCTGGGGTCGCCAAGCCTTGGCTCTTGCCAACCTGTACCTAATACTCTGGAATTAGGTAAGCACAATGCGTCCCTCCAGGGAGAGAATTTGTATTCCACTCCAATAAATATCTCTGGAATTTTCATGTTTAGGTAGGACGCATGGGACTCTCATATGGTTTGGGAACTCTTATGGTGATTTCCAAGTGTGTCATATGTGTGGGTATGTCACACCCAGCTGACCAAAAANGAAGCTTCCCATTGCTTCTCACATTGCTACCCATTAGGCTTGCAGGGTCAACATGAGGTGAGTGGGAAGAATCCCACAGAGGATTGACTCAATTCCTGCATTGAATAGCAAAGTAAACATTCCTTCAAAACAATAATAATGAATTAGTCACTTCAATCCACAACTGTGCATAAATGGCTGCCATGGTTTGTCCACAAAATATACAGTCAATTCACTTTACAGTATATTATGTGAAGCACTTTGTGATGTCTCGAAGATGTGATAAGGCGCTATATCAAATGCAAGGATTATTATTTATTATTAAATTCCAATTATCAAACAGTTGTCCTTTTTAATATTTTTTGGGAAAAAAACAGTGGGAACGATTTACTTTGAGAGATATTAGTTTGTACTAATTCTAGGAGATTCTGCAGTGCCAATGTTTTACTAAAACCATGAAAACAACAACAACAAGATTCCATTTATAGAGCGCCTTTCACGTCGGGAGGACGTCCCAAACAATTCCACTATAATGCGTTCATGTTAAGTGCAGTATTGAGTTCCTACAATTCAATACAATTATTATTAAGTACATCACCTTGGAGCCATCTTAGCTCGAAGGAGATCCTGCTTAACTCTCTCAAGTAGGATAGTGATGTATATGGGTATCAATGGCCCTTGTCAATACTGTCTGTGAAGCTTGGAGGCTCCAGCAACATTTCAGACAAGGCATGAATTCCTTCCATGCACTGATCGATACATTGTTCGATACAAACTTTGTAAAACTTCTTATTTTCCCCCTCAATCTCACATTTTATGTTCCTGTTAATCCTGCTTTAATCTGCCCTTGCTGCACGTGGGTGTTTATTTGTCCTGCATCTTCTGAATAATGTTTTTGTAAGTTGATCATATATCCTCTGTTAGCTTGTGTTTGAGTAATACCTCACAGTCTATACCCCTTAGTTCAGCAGCTCTCATAACCCTCAAGTTTGCCCATCTAATAAAAGTTGAATAACTTGAGTTGTTCAAAAACAGAAGGGGATGTCTTGCCATGTCCTAGCCAGACTGATTGATCATTACTGATGCAAATGCCCCTGTTTTGCCTACAATTACATTCAATATATTTCACATTATTTACCTCTGTAGCGCTTTGAGATATTTTGATAAGCGGCCATAAAAATAAGTTTTTTTCTTTCTAACAGTAATACACTGAAATGGACTAGACTGTTCCTCACAGGTGAAACAGCGTTACTGGTGTAGTTTTCCATTGGTTTATACTGAATATACACAATGTCCAATTCACTAAAGGCCAGGCTAATAAACCTGACACTTGCTCACGTGTTCACATGGGGTCAGTTCCAGTTGTGAATTTGAAGTCTATTTGGAGCATCAGCACAGCCACGTGGAGAGGAATTTTAAATGGGACCTGACTTATGAATGATCGGCTCCATTCACACGGTACCCTTTTAATCTGGATCATCAATTCTGAATCAGAATAATCTTTGTGCATGTAAACAGGAACAGTGATGCTGCACCACCTCTGAGTGCTGGAGCAAAAATAGAAATCAGTACAGTTTGAAACCGTGTGGCTGGGCTGGGGAATAGCATTTCCAGCAGAGGGATTTGGACAGCTGTACACTGTTTGCATTTGCAATGGTATTTTTCAAATGCATTAATACAGCTCAGTCCCCTGCCATGCATGACCTATTTTTGGTTAACACCAGCCATTGTTCTATTTCTGTCGCCTGTGGGCTGTGTTGTTGTTGATTCATATGTAAATGTATTATCACTTGTTTCTGCCAACTTCGAGGGGAGTAAACAGAGGCAGGCCATACTTGTGAGGGCAGTGGTTTGACACAACATCTTCAAAACCCTGGAGTGCCTGGAAAAATTAAGGTTTTTCTTTTTGAGTGTCTGTTGGGGCTGTGGTTATTATACCTCACTACCTACTTTGAACTTCCGCAGGGTAAAACAAAACAAATCCAACACCCCCTCCAACCCTGCAAAAAAACACCAAAAGAAGAATTAAGTGTTCTTTGAAGTGGGAAGCCGGGGATGCTTTTAACCTTGTGTCTTTTCAGCTTGTCCAGAACACTGAGCTATTGCAAAAAGGAGAGAGAGAGAGAGAGAGCAGCAGTGACTCAGCTTGTAATTTAAAAGTGGTAAAGAGAGAGAGAGAGAGAGGAAGAGTGGCTTATGGTGCTTGTCATGTACAAACCATCCAATTGTTTCTGGAAGAGGAATTAAGGAGGAAATGACCCTGTTGGTGGATCTGATGAATCTTTTATGCAGCTGAAGTGTGGACTGAAGGAAAGATGCTGCAGACTATTTATGAGACTGAATCGTGTTTCTCCTCAGATGGGGTTTCTGGACGTGAGCAGCCACTCCAGCTGTTGTCTCAGCACAGAATGCACAGCATGCTCACTTCAGGTAAGCAGCTTCGGTTTCACTCAAAGGCACTGTCTCGTGGGTATGGCTGGACACTCTCTCTGTCTATTTAATATTACATTAGTACTGTCCAGTTTAAAATTTAAGAACTGTAGTAAATACTGTATTCGCCGTAAACCTGATAAGCTGCCCACAGTTATCAGAGGAAATTTTGATTTCTTGAGGATATACTGTAGTAATTGGGTATTACTACAGCTCTTAATAAGCTATATATTGCTATCTTATGTTGCTAGTATATGCTAGTGTATTGATAGTATATTGCTTTCTTCTTTTATGATCCTGTGAAGTGAATATATATTATAATTATATGAGGCAGGCAATGGCATGGTTTAGTGGATCAAGACTGCACAATGACAGGTTGGGCAACTAATGTGATTATTGTCTTCCCATCCCTTCACCACTACTGAGTTCATGATTCTCACCAGGTTGATGTACACAGGGCAGATGCTTCTCCATAGAGCAAGGGGAAACTAGAAGGAGTTTAACCGTGGGCTCCAGCTGGAAGCAGTGGCACAGGCCTGGGACTTGGCAGATGCCCTATGGGCTGCAGTTGCTGCTGTAGACCAAGGGGAGAAAACAGACACCCTCAAACTCTTGCAAAATTTAACACAAATGTTTACCACCTGCATAACTTCCTGAGAGAGGTCACTGTTAATAAATGACTACAGGTTAATGTATCCTCGATTAACTGCATCTGAATAGGATTGTGTAATTCTGTGGTTTTACATTATTATTGTAATTCATGTTTTGGAATAAGACAATGGTAGTGATGATGACAATTTGTTTTCAAATCCATAATGCTTTACCTGCCAATTTGAAGAAGAAAATCATTAAAGGATATAAGAGAGAATACAACAACATTTATATAGCGCCCTTTATGTAGGATAACATCTCAGAGCGCGTTACAGTGATGGAGTTGTACTCCGAGCAGAGGAGAGGGAAGAGGTGAGAAGGAGATGTGAACATAGACGTGATCGAAGAGGTAGGTTTTAAAGTATGATTGGAGACGGATAGAGAGAGGGGTAAGACGGAGGAGAGGAGGGAGTTCCAGATGTTAGGGGCATGGAATCTGAAAGCTCGGCCACCAATGGTGGTGTGGAGAGTGCGGAGAGATAGAGCAGAGAATTGGAATTGGGATCGTTAGCTCCAGTGGATGAGTTACTATCGTTTAGGCACAATAGTCTCCTCCTGTGAGGCATTTTCTATGTTTCTCGAACTTTATACATTCTCTGTTTGTTTGCAGGCTTATATATTTAATCTGTATTTGCTGCAGTAACACTTGCACAGAGAATGTCAGTGGAAATAAAAGTAGATTTTCCACTTTGGCAAAGTGACACCAGAAAACAGGAAACAACAAATACATAATGTACTTTAAAATGCCATTCTTTTCAGCTGAAATATTCGGACAATTTCTATCAAGAGAATAAGTTTTCTGACCTGGTGAATATCTTCATAAATAAGACTACCTCACCTTGTAAAAAACAATATTACATAAATGATTGTTGCATTTACCTTATCACGCTGTCAAAATGTCTCAAAGAGATTCACAGGTTCTTCTGTAAAGTGTAGTGAATGTTTATTTTGTTGGAGAACACAACAGCCTATTTGGCACAGCAGTGTCCCACAAACAACCATCAAGTAAATGACCAGTTTAATCTGTGGGATTCTTAGAGCTAGGACACCAAGAATAGTGTGAATCGTGTTCCCAATTCTCTTCGAATTTCGGTAAGGAGGAGATAAGGAAGTTGGAGATTTTGATCATAACACAAAGCACAGTGAAGTTTGTAACATACCATAACAGTTGTATGTGATAATTATCCCACTATATCTGTTATGAATCAGATTTCATTCATTTCTAAAGGCCAAGGAACTCAACACCCTTTCCACCACCTGAATTCAACACTTTGGTTTGCTCCTATTTGCAATTTGAAAATATTGACAATCTAGGGTGACATTTCATTACATTGCTAAGGTGTGCTGCGCTATTGGTGGTGCAGTCCTTCTAATGAGACTTTAAAACGAGGTTCCAGCTGCATGTTCAGGATAAAGATCCTATGACACAAGTCATGAAGGGAAGGGAGTTTCTACCGGTGTCCTGACCAACAATCGTCCAAATAAATTGATCATTCACTTCGTGGCTGTGCGTGGACATTGCTATGCGAAAATTATAAAAGCAAGTTCACTTATAAATGCGGTCAATACACTTTACAGTAAATTATGTGAAGCACTTTAATCCATTTCAGTATAATAGGCACTATATGAAAGCTATATGCAATGCTAGGTTTTTATTATTATTGTTGTACCCAAGGATTTCTCCAATCTGATGCTGCTTCAAATCAGAGAGATTAACATTCGAGTGCCACTAAAAACAGAATGCCAATTTAACCCAGTCAGTATCCTGTGAAGCAGTGTAGAATGCTGCCCCAGCACCGAAATTAAAGACAGGCCTGTGGTCAGATGGTAGCCAAAGTGGCAACAATTGTTTTCAAATTGTGAACAGAAGCAAACCAATGTGTAGAAGTTGGGGCATGTTCGGTGCACTTAGGAGTGTTTTCAGTGCATTTAAGTGTAATCCCCTTTGTGAATAAGCCGATCTTTAGAAATTGATGTTTCTGACAGATTCAATGGGATATGACATCAAATTTGTTATGAAATGTTACACATTTCGCTCCAGCCTTTCTATGCATAAGAGCATTGACGATTTAAATCCTTGGATACAGAATTCAAGTTTCTAGTTTGCAAGACAGGAGCTTCACATAGATGGACTGATGCTCACAACTACTTCCATCACTGCAATCTTCTCATGGATCTGAGTCGCTGGGAGTATAGTTTATGTTTACTCCACTGGAGTCTGCTTGAGAAATTGAGTTCACCGCAATTTTAATTAAGCACTATTATGTCCCCCCTGGCCCCCACAGAGCTAAACTTTATTCTATTTAGTGGTAACAGTAAAAAACATTGGACACAGCCCCAATTCCTACAAATGTAAATGCCAAATGCTGCAAAGAATAATGTTCTTGGAGTACATTTATTTTCATCCATCACGAGTCAATTAAATGAGTATTTAGATTTCTTGACATCCCTTGATGTTCCTACACTCCTCATTGAGTTCACTGCTGTCTCGGCAGTTAATTAAAATTATGGATCTCCGAAGGATGCTGCTTTTAAGTGGAATCCCCTTTGAGAATACGCCAGTTAAAGTTACATAATCCCACAGGATTTCACCACTGGCATAATTGCCGTCACATTTCCAGCAAAATTCCCATTTGCTTGTACCCTATATTTTACACTCTTGGAAACTGTTCAGTACAACACGTGATGTGGCAATTTGTGGAGTTCCCAGCCAGCAATACATCAGACCCAGTATTTTCTGAAGGTAAAGCTGCCACACTAAAACTACACCCAAATAGATAAAAAAGTGCTTCAGTATAATTTTCACCAATTTCTTTCCCCTCTTCCTGGAAATACAGTAAATGGCAATAGATAACCAACTCAGTGTGCTACCAAATTAATTCCTGATCTGTGCAGAAACAAACAGGACATGATGGAGAAAGTGCTATTCAATGTTTGTAGGTGATGTAGAAGAACTCCTGTTTCTGATCACTAACCACTGACCACCAGGTGCAAAGTGAGAGTGTGCATGAACATCTGGTCAGGCTCAGCTGTGATGCCTCTCTTAGGTCAAGTAATCAAGTAACCCATTGGCACTCTCTGCTTGGGCTTACACATGAAGAACATCCACTTGAGTGAGGTACTGAAGGGTTGTCTGTGCATTTGAAAATCTCAGCATGAGTAAGTGCCTCCAGGATTGCAGAGGAGAATATTTATATAATAAGAGATAACACAGGAAACATCCACCTGTGCCTGGCATTATTTGGGGCTGGTGAGTCCTGTTACCATGTATTGCTATGTGTCAGGAACTATGTGTTAGGGACTATGTACATTTGATATAAAGGTAGAAAAAAGGCAGCTTTAATATCACTGATCTGTTTTGCAGCAGCTTTCCAAAAACAAGAGATGGTGCACTGAGTGGCCTCTGCCTACTTGGTAACAGATTAAATTAACGTTCAGTGTTAAGCCCAGAGGCTTCACGCCCAGCCTGTCTGATCTTTAAAAAAATAACTTTTTGTCCCAGGAGAGCATGGAGTTTGGCCCGCCAAAGACAGATCAATCCTGGGAAAGTAATTTTAAAGGGGAAATAAAAAGAAAACTCGACCCTGATATAGAATCATAGAATATTACGGCACAGAAGGAGGCCATTTGGCCCACCTGGCCTGTGCTGGCTCTTTGGGAGAGCCATCAAATCAGTCCCAGTCCCCTGCTTTTCCCCCATATCCTTGTATATATCCCCATAAATAGGGATGTTTTTTTTCACCAGACGGAAAATAAATTCTGTAATATACAGAATACAATCACTCGACACAAAGTCACAAAATGGCAACGAAGAACAAATCCCTTACCTGAAGAGGGCCACAATCTGCTGGTGTTCCCTAGTTATTCCTTAAATAAGTTAAGGAATATTTTATGAAGATCACAAATTTTCCTCCCAGATATTTGGAAGCATATATGAAATAACTTTAAGGGACAAGTATATAAAGTATTTATCCACTGTATAGATCAGCATTCCTATCTACGAGCATAGAATAATATCCTGTGTTAAAACATGGTACTGCTATAGCCTCTCTTGATTTTCACCCCCCCTTTTCTCTTGAGGACACTATGTTGCATTTCCCAGATACTGATCAATCACTTGTATCTCATCCAAGCAGCTATTGTTCATGTGTGATCCATTCATGTAGGAGGCTGAACCTATTCGTCCCTGGAGGGCAGGACAGCTGGTCTCGATCCTGGCGTCAGTAATGGCCTGAAATTTCACCAAGTATTAGTTTATAAGACTATTCGGCTTAAAATTTAAGATTGTGTGTAATTGTGAAAAATTCTTAGAATCAGCCTCAATTTGAAAGTCGGTCCTATTTAAATAC